AAAAAATCTTCTTTTAAAGAACCAAAAGAGCTAGAGCTAAGATATTTAGCATGAAACATGTTCTAATGGATGTCTCCCAAGTTTGTTCAAATATGAGCCCTGGGGTCAAAATTTGCCCCGCCCCGGGGGTCATTGATTTTCCCAATATGCATATAGTAAAAACTTAAAAATCTTCTTTTAAAGAACCCAAAGAGCTAGAGCTAAGATATTTGGCATGAAACATCTTCTAGTGAGTGTCTACCACGTTTGTTCAAATAAAAGCCCTGGGGTCAAAATTGGCCCCGCCCCAGGGGGTCATTGATTTTCCCTATATGCATATAGTAAAAACTTAAAAAATCTTCTTTTACAGAACCCAAAGAGCTAGAGCTTAAAAATTTAGCATGAAACATCTTCTAATGGGTGTCTACCAAGTTTGTTCAAATAAAAGCCCTGGGGTCAAAATTGGCGCTGCCCCAGGGGGTCATTGATTTTCCCTATATGCATATAGTAAAAACTTAAAAATCTTCTTTTAAAGAACCAAAAGAGCTAGAGCTAAGATATTTAGCATGAAACATGTTCTAATGGATGTCTACCAAGTTTGTTCAAATATGAGCCCTGGGGTCAAAATTTGCCCCGCCCCGGGGGTCATTGATTTTCCTTATATGTGTATAGCAGAAACTTAAAAAAACTTTTTTGAAAAAAAAAAAAACCAAATAGCTAGAGTTTAGATACTAAGCATGAAACATCTTCTAGTGAGAGTCTACCAAGTTTGTTCAAATAAAAGCCCTGAGGTCAAAATTGGCCCCTCCCCGGGGGTCATTCATTTTCCTTATAACTATGTGTATAACAAAAACTTAAAAAATCTTCTTTGAAAAAACTCAAATAGCTAGAGTTTAGATATTAAGCACGAATCATCTTCTAGTGAATGTCTACCATGTTTGTTCAAATAAAAGCCCTGAGGTCAAAATTGGCCCTGTCCCGGGGACATTAATTTTCCGTATATGTGAATAGCAAAAACATAAAAATCTTCTTTGAAAAAACCTGAATAGCTAGAGTTTAGATATTAAGCATGAAACATTTTCTAGTAAGTGTCTACAAAGATTGTTCAAATAAAAGCCCTGGGGTCAAAACTGGCCCTGCCCTAGGTGTGTCATTGTTTTTATCTATATGTGTAAAGAAAAAACTTGAAAAATCTTCTTTTAAAAAACCCAAAGAGCTAGGCCTTAGATGTTTAGCATGAAACATCTTCTAATGGGTGTCTACCAAGTTTATTCAAATAAAAGCCCTGGGGTTTAAACTGGCCCGGCTCCAGGGGCCTATATACAGGTGAGCGACTTCAGGGCCATCATGGCCCTCTTGTTTACTTTAAAAACCATAAAAGGTCCTTATTAGCCACCATAGGTTTTAATGAAAATCTTGATTGATTATCATGGAAAATGTAAAAAAATATAACAAAAAAGCAACAGAAGTTAATCATTTTAATACTTCCCCTAAATTGATTGAGACAGCATTGTATATTAATATCTTCAACATACAAGTGGTGTTCAAAAAATAATGCAAGTTACTTTGTTTCTCAGCTACTGTTGGTAGTTTTACTATTTTCGGTAAACTCTGCAGAGAATTACAAAGAAATATTCGCAGGATTAAAAAGAAAATTGATTTTTGTGTGATTTTTCGCTGGATTTTGCACAATAAAAATGAATACTCCAGAAAAACGGGATGAGGGACATGTAACCGTCAATTTAAACCTAAGTGGAGTCCCTTTAAAAAAACAATTTAAAACTTGACAAGTCTTAATTATATAAATTTAGAATGGTATCCACTACTTAATAAATGTTTGTAATACAATGACTCTTAAATGCTAATTAACAAAAACAATTAGTACATAAATTGATTCTTGAAATATCTCATTAAGACTCAATTAAATGTGAATACTTACTTTAATTAATGATAATAATTAATATTTAATGTGAATATCACTAAACAAAAGTGTGAATATTGTTCTAAAAAATTTGGAATGATTCTATCAAAAAAAAACTGTAATTTTTTATCAACATTTTATAAATATTTTCTCTAAGTACCTTGGATGATAGTGACATAATAATATGATGTAATCATCAATTCAGTTTTTTTTTGCAGGCAAAGGAAGGCATTTAACTTTCTAATACAGGTTTGATTTGCTTTTTTGCGCAGGTTTGATTTGCTTTTTTTGTGCAGGTTTGATTTGTTTTTTGTTCAGCACATTTTTACTGTATCTTAATTGATATCTGAGATTGGGCTATCAGTTGCCAAACAAATACAATTCTTTCTGAGAAAAAGAATGTAAGATATTGTTTTATCTTGTAAATGTCAAAATAGAGACACAAGTTTGAAGATTGCTATAGATTTATATGGGAAGACAATGAGTGCAATGTTCTTCACACAGAATATCAGTAAATAAATAAAGACTTACATTGATATAGGAATTCTCAAGGAAAGAAAAAAAATTTGATAGGAAGGTGATTCCTTTAATGTGTTTGGTATTTCTTTTTTAATAATTAATATGTTACTTTGTAAGTGGTTCATATATAATATTTTTGTAGGTGTGTAAATATGTTTGTAGTTCTCTGAGCATATTTTGTAGTTCTCTTTTAATATGAGTGTAGTTTGTCTCTTATAATGTGTTTCTAGCTTTCTTAAATGTTGGAACTTCTCTTAAATGTGTTTGTAGTTCTCTTTAAATGCTTGTAGTTATATATTTATATGTTTGTAGCTTTCTGAATTAATTATATATGTTGGAATTTCTCTTAATTATAATGTTTGTTGTTTTCTTTGAATATGTTCTAAGATCACTTTTAGTATGTATGAAGTTCTCTTCTTATATGTCCCTAGATTTCTTTTTATATGTTCCTTATTTCTAATTTCTAAAAAACGTTCTCTTTGGCATTTAATCTATTAAAATCTATCTACTATTGTTAACAAAATGGACATGCTGTTTAACAGTTTTATATTATATGCATTATTCAGCGAGAAATTACTTCAGATATTGAATATAAAAGGATATGTTTAAATTCAGCTTGCCCCAACTTCCTTTTAGCAAGTTTTAACTAAATGATTATGTTCTAAGACTTAACTTAATAATTACCTAATTTTTACTTCTTTTTTTCATCCTTAACAAATACTGTGGGAATCCTGCTGCTAGTAATGTTAACAAATTTATTAATTGATAGAATTACAGATTATTTACTTTTACATCAAAATTTTAACTAGGATACAGTTTTATCTATCTTAACATAAAATTGTTAATGTATTTACTTTAACAATAACAAATGTAATTATTTTAGAACAAAAAGGATTTAAACAATAATTTTTCCGAACGAACGCAAATAAAACAAAAAATAAACTTACTTAACAATAGTTTCTGTGCCCGAAACTTAGTACATGTAAATTGAAACACACACGATTCGTACTTCTTATTCCGATATCTTAACTTCTACTGCGCCTAAGGAAGGCGGCAAATCTTGTATTTGCATAAAATTATTATTTCTAGGGACAGTTTTGACCAACCAAAATGCAGGAAGCGCCCTCTAAGAAAATAAAAGTAAAATTTCATTTTCTAAATATGGGGATCATTAATTACTATGGAACGCTTAGTCTTGGCAGGGACCAGAGCGCACTAAAATAACACTGCGCTGGACAGTTGGCATGATTTATTGAAATCAAAACAATTATCTAAACATTTTAAACCGGTCTTTGATAATTAAAACCAGCACCAACATTCGGAGTCTGGAACACCGGCCCTCAATGAACTTTTTTACATAAGTTCATTCTTATATATTAAGGGAAGACGAAGAATTTAATACTCGTTTTGTAATAATCAAAACATTCACAAGTTCTAGAATTTTTTACTAATCTAGATTATGTTACACATATATACACTTTTTGAAATATCGTAACGTCTTAATAGCGATGCAAACAAAGTCGCTCATTAAACGTTATTCACTGCTGACTATTGTTATCAGTTAGCATGAACGATTTCCTGTTCCAATACACATACCATCGTAATCGGCCGTACTTTCACGGACCCATTTACCTTGACCTTACATGACCTTACAAGTCCGTCTCTACCTTTGTTTACTTCCAGAACGAGGCCTAATGGCCATTTGCCCCGAGATAATTGCTCGTCGCAGACGAGAACGAGGTCATTTACGGACACATTCCTTTGAATGTTATGCCATTTTTGTCTTACCTGTAAGGTCGGCAGATATTCTCGAACCCACCTTTTCCAGAAAACATTCGCTAGATACTGTACCTGTCGCCACCAGCGTTTACAATAAACATCTCGCTTATCAAATAAACCTGGTGGGAACGAAGCATTTGGTCTCATAATCAAAAGTTTATTTGGGGATAAGGGTTCTGGATCCCTTTGATCACTACTTACCTGGGTAATCGGTCTATCATTGAGAATCTTTTCTATCTCTGTAACTAAAGTTAACAGAGCCTCATCGTTGAGAAGTTGTTCTCCAATGACTGATTTTATAGCCCTTTTTGTGGACCGTACTAACCGTTCCCAAATACCGCCCATATGACTTGCATATGGAGGATTAAAATGCCATTTCATTTCTTGCTGTTGACATAATTTTGCGAGTCGACTTTGATTAAATTGCCGAATGCTATCACGCAAAACTCTATCTCCTGATACAAATTTTTCCCATTGTCACTGAATATATTTTCGGGACGGCCTCTACGACTTACAAACCTTTGCAGTGCACAGATGAAAGAGTCCGTATCTAAGCTATGAGCAATTTCAATGTGCACTGCTCTGGTGGTCAAGCACGTAAATATACAGCCGTATCTTTTCAGATGTCGTCTTCCAGACTTCACAGTCATCGGGCCAAAATAATCGACACCGACATACGTAAACAGTGCCTTATCGGGTGTGAGCCTTTCTTCTGGAAGATCGCACATCTGTTGCAATTCCGGTCGTTGTAACTGTCGTTTGCACGTTATGCACCTACCGATAACAGACTTAACTGTTAACTTTAACCGTGGATTATCCAATACTTTTGTCGCAACATGGCCAGAATATGTACTGGGCCCATGTGCGCATTCTGTTTATGACAGTTTTGTATCAGGATTCTTGTCACGTGATGGCTACTCGGCAAGATAATTTGATGCTTAGCATCTACGTGTAGGTCGGACATTGCTAGTCGTCCGCCGACTCGCATTACATTATCCTTTAATATAGGACATAGCCTTTTCAGAGGGCTCGAACTCGGAACCGGCCTCTGAGCCTTTAATTCATTTATTTCATTTTCAAACGCCTCCGTTTGAACTAATTTAAAAATGGCTATTTGTGCCATTTTAATTTCCCCCACACTAAGGGGCTTACTACTTACCTTACTGTAAAGACTTCGTCTTTGGGGTAAGTATTTCTCAATTAAGAAACACTTAAAACGTAGTAGCCAAGCGACTGCATTTTGAAGTTTATGCCAGTCGGAGAACTTACTAAGTAACGTATCCATACTCAAATTATACTTACCATGAGTGTTTAGTACACTAGCCTGAAGTTTGAGCTCTATGTCATCCTCATTTACGGTTGCATTACTTACCTGCGCTGGCCACCCTGATTCATTCCTTTTAAGGAATTCGGGGCCATTCAACCATATGTCAAGCTTTTCAGTTTCTTGCGGATTAACTCCCCTTGACGCAATGTCAGCAGGGTTACTCTTTGAGGGTACATACCTCCAGTCATGTGGTGACGTCACCTCATGAATTATTGATAGTCTATTTGCAACGAAAGTCTTAAAACCTTTTCGTTTCATTTCTTATGTAACCTAACACAAATCATAGAGTCCGTCCAAAAGTACCTTTCAGTAATTTTGACATAAAGCTCCTCTATGACAATCTGATACAGTTTTACAGCAACTACAGCTGCTGCAAGTTCGAGTCTTGGTATCGAAATAGCCTTTATAGGTGCTAACCTAGACTTACCTATAACTAGACTGCACTTACTGTGCCCCTTCGCGTCATACACTTTTAAGTACACGCTCGATCCATAGGCATACTCAGATGAATCACTAAACATATGTAGTTCAGCTTTCAAGGTCGACCTGTCGAGCTCACCTGGTATTATACATCTATCTACACTTACCTTCGATAGTGCTGGTAGGCTGGCTAGCCACTGCAACCATTTTTCAGCATCCGCATCTGGAATTTGTTCGTCCCAGCCTAGGTTTGTTCTACAAGCACGTTGTAGAATTAATTTTGGTGTTAACGTCACTGGTGCAACAAGCCCAAGCGGATCATACAATGAACTGGCAACCGACAAGATATTACGTCTTGTCGTACCTTTGTCATGGAGATTTACATCAAACACAAAATGGTCATACTTAACATGCCACTGTAACCCAAGTGTTCGCTCACATGACGATTCGTTGTCAATGTCTATTTTTTCCTTTAACTGAGCTCGATCTGCTTCCGGGATCGAATTCATGACATATTCACAATTAGAGAGCCACTTTGTCAGTCTGAAGCCCCCTAAAGAAAGAAACTCTTTCATTTCTGCGGCAAGTCTAATTCCCGAACTTGAGTCTAATACTGACTTAAGAAGGTCATCAACGTAGAAATTACGTTCGATCGTACTTACCGCTTCTTGACTGAATTTATCAGTATTTTCATTTGCCGTGCGCTTTAAACAGAAAGCCGCACAACTTGGTGAAGAAGTTGCACCAAACAAGTGGACGTTCATACGATACTCCTTTGGTTCCTCGTTCAAGTTACCTTGAGGCCACCAAAGGAATCTTAAAGAATCCCTATCATGCTCACATACTCTTACCTGGTGGAACATGGCTTCTATGTCCGCAACCAATGCCACTGGGGCCTGCCGGAATCGCATAAGTACGCCAGTAATACTGTTAGTTAGGTCGGAACCTTGTAACAGATTGTCATTCAATGATGTGCCTTGATACTTAGCAGCACAGTCAAAGACAACTCTTACCTTACCCGGCTTCTTTGGGTTAACAACTGGATGATGAGGTAGATACCAAATACGTCCGGGTTCGAATCCCGTTCTGGTATCTAATAAGGAAGCATAACCCTTATCAATATACCCATTCACCGTTTCTTTATACATATCAAATAACTTATTATCTCTTTGAAGTTTTTCGCTTCAAATGAGATAGTCTTACCGTAGCCATCTTCACGTTATTTGGAAGACTTACGTCTGGGTTTCTCCACGGGAGTCCCAATTTGTAATGACCGTTTTCCTTTACTACTGTACCTTTCATTACTGAAAGTGCACGACGGTCTTCCTGTGACATCCCTGTGCCACAGCTCTTGACATCTGGGAAGTCGGTTGCCCATAACTTATCGATTTGCAACTGTGTACTAGAAGCGAACTGAAAATTGATACTACCTTGATCATTTGACGATCCATTACATGTGGGTCCTATAATACTCCAGCCTAATATTGACCTTATTGCATAGGGCTCACCTTTATTCCCCCTTCGCTGCTCTTCTACCCAGAATGCGTCTGGGGTGTCGCTTCCCACAAGCAACTCAACTTTGTTTACATCAATTTTCGGTAAATTGATACCATTAAGGTGTTTCCACTTACCTGTCACAGACTGGTCTGGCAACGACTGCAAGGATATAGGCAGGGTTTTTACAGACCATACCTTTTGAAGGTCAATGACCTGACCCCCATTTAATGCACTTACCTGTAGTTTAACTTCTTTGCCATTTATATTTTGACCAGACTTGTTCACTGTAGTTAACGTGAACTTACAAGGTTTACTTTCAACCCCGAGCCTTTTTACAAGGCTATCGCTACAAAGCGTTACATCGCTCCCTTCATCAAGGAGAGCATACGTTTCTACTTGCATAGTTTTCGTTCCGACGACGACAGGAACTATGCGTAAACTTACCTTGTTTTGTTTACACCTCGATTCGGAAGCCGCAACATATTTATCCTCAACATTTGTAAATTTGTTGATTTTACTAGAATCTCGGTGAAACATTGTATTATGTTTCCCGGTACAACCTGAAACCTCACAAAAACTATTTTGCCTACAATTTTCGGCAACATGTTTGAAATACAAACAGTTTTCACACATTTCATGCTCTCTGATAACTCTCAGCTTTGAATCAATATCAATGGAGCGAAACTCTGCGCATGCCCTTAATTTATGGGCCTTTTTACAATAAATACATGATAATCGTCCCCTAGCGGATTTCTCTAAGGGAGATTTACCTGAATTTCTCTTATCAGAGCCAGTGGACAGTGTAACTACTTTATTACGCTGAGAAGGGTTTATGTGGGAATTTCTTTGCGAATTCGCTGTTTGTTTTGACTCATTCGCAAGGTCATAACCATACATTGTATTGGCTACACTTGACCGTTCCCTAACAAAGGTTAGAAGATGGTTAAAACTTGGTTCGAGCCCCTGCTCTATCAGGCTACTTGCACGTTCGACCCACTGGGACCGAATGTGAAGTGGAAGTCTCCTAACTATTTTGCGTAGGTTTTCCGTATTATTCACATCGGACATAAAACCTAGCTGTGTCAAGGTCATATGACATTTCTCCATATGGAGTGACAGGTTCATTAGACCCTTTACGTCATTACTTTTTATGGCACTGCCATTTACTAAATTATCCACATGGGACCGGGCCACTAAATGTGGTTTCCCGTACCTAGATTTAAGGATTTCTTTAGCCCTTAAATAGCCTTCGTCCGGAGACAAAATTACACAATCTTCGATACAATATTTTGCTTCACCCTGACACAATTGAATTAAATAATTTAATTTTAATCTATTGTCACTTACCCTAGCCTCGATATTGGTTTCAAAATTGCTGATGAATTTACAATAATCAGCAGGATTCCCACTAAATTTAATCAACTCCGGTTTAGGTAAACCATAAACGTTTTGAGAATAAATTTGTCTTGATGGTATATTATCACAAAGATTTTCACTAATTGCATTGTCAGGTAAGTCCTTCACGTAATTTTCAACTCGAACATCGGTTGCTGGCTCGTCGAGTAAGGATAGCTCTCCTCTGTCTTTGGAATCTTCTTCTTCAATCTCAGCAAGTTCTAGCTCGTGCCGGGCCGACTGCAGTTCGAGCTCCCGGCGAGCCTCTTCGCTTCTGCGCTCTGTTTCTTGTTTTTCTTTCAGCTGGCGGAGGCGCAGTTCTGCCCTCCGCTTGCGTGAGGCTGTAGAGCTACACGTTACAACGGAATTTGCACAACTCGTGTATTCTTGATTCTTCTCCATATTCACTTCAGCTTCGTTGCTGGTTACATTACTTGCCATCTTTAGATGATACGGAATATATGTTTACGAATATAATCCAAATAAATACGGTTTAATCCAATTAACTTTCACCTTTTCGTTAATAGATTATGTTCAATAACTGTAGGATAACACGGTGTTCAACAACTGTAGGAACTATACTGTTCAATAACTGTAAGAACACAGTGTAGATTACGTGGGTGGCTGAGAGAGAACACGTTAATACGGGTGTTCACTTCAACTGTTCACCAAATTACATGACACTACGACACAGTCGTAATGGGCAGCTTCACTAAGTTTGGGCAACAAAAAGATGCAATTCACGCGCTATATTTTCCACTTTTATTCCAGAAACAACACATAGTCTAAGGAGTATATAGTGTATCTAACGTATATAGCGTATATAGCGTATATAGCGTATACAGCGTATATAGCGTATACAGCGTATATAGCGGTTATCTGAAAGTTAAACAGTTATACTTTCATTAATAACAAATAAAACAACATACAAAGAATTTATACATACTTACAAATAAACAAGTCACATATATAATTCATCCTTAACAAATACTGTGGGAATCCTGCTGCTAGTAATGTTAACAAATTTATTAATTGATAGAATTACAGATTATTTACTTTTACATCAAAATTTTAACTAGGATACAGTTTTATCTATCTTAACATAAAATTGTTAATGTATTTACCTTAACAATAATAAATGTAATTATTTTAGAACAAAAATTATTTAAACAATAATTTTCCCGAACGAAGGCAAATAAAAAACAAAAATAAACTTACTGAACAATGGTATCTGTGCCCGAAACTTAATAAATAAAAATTCACAAGATTTGTACTTCACATTCCGAAATCTTATTTTCAACTGCGCCTTGGAAAGGCGGCAAATCTTGCATTTGCATATAATTATTATTTCTAGGGACAGTTTTGACCAACCAAAATGCAGGAAGCGCCCTCTAAGAAAATAAAAGTAAAATTTCATTTTCTAAATATGGGGATCATTAATTACTATGGAACGCTTAGTCTTGGCAGGGACCAGAGCGCACTAAAATAACACTGCGCTGGACAGTTGGCATGATTTATTGAAATCAAAACAATTATCTAAACATTTTAAACCGGTCTTTGATAATTAAAACCAGCACCAACATTCGGAGTCTGGAACACAATGTAATTAATTAATTTTGTCTGTAAAGCTGATTTTATTGGTCCAACCCAGACAAAAACAATTCCAATATTATGCACAAAAATTGCTATTATACACTGAATATTTGGTATCACAGATTGAATTATATGTCTTAGTGACTAGATAATTTCTGGTGATAATTTATTTTATCATCATTCATTATCATAAAATAATTCCACACAATTGCTGTCTGATGGCATCATTTTGCAAAATAATGGAAGTAACACAATTTTTTTATATTCCCATACATGCAACTGGAGTAATTTTATGAATAGTTTGAAAATTAACAAAATATTTTAACCTTTTATTTTCCTTCCAATCATTTACCTTCATTTGACTTTCTTCCTTTCATTATTTCCTTCCTTCCTTCCTTCCTTCCTTCCTTCCTTCCTTCCTTCCTTTTCTTCCTTTCTTCCTTCCTTCCTTCCTTCCTTCCTTCCTTCCTTCCTTCCTTCCTTCCTTCCTTCCTTCCTTCCTTCCTTCCTTCCTTCCTTCCTCCCTCCCTCCCTCCCTCCTCCCTCCCTCTCTTTTCCTTCCTTCCTTTTCCTTCCTTCCTTCCTTCCTTGTTTATTTGCTCATTTATTCATTTGTTCCTCTTCATCCATTATTTCATTCTTTCTTTCAATATATTTATATTTTATTTTTTGATCCCTCTATTCTATTTATACATTTATTTAGAGATAAACTAAGGTAATTCTGTATTCATTTAATTGTTACTGCAAAATGATTGCATTTTGTACTAGAATATAGAAGGCATAATTTAAATATTATACGCTATAAATGTCAAAGACATAGACAGTAATTGGAGAAATTCTGTGAAACATCTGACTTCCTTCCTCAATTGAATTCCATTTTATATTTAAAACAGAGATTTACGTATAAAATAATACATTGTTCAGGAGAAAATAATTGGTATGTATTTCATAAATCATTCTGTAATTGGGCTTTCAGAAATAAAAGTAGAAAAATATTACCTAGAATTACTGCACATTTTGATAGTTAATCATTTATATTTATCTGGTAAATTGTTAAATATATAGATTTTATAATGTCACACAGAAGACAGGATACAAAGAGAAGGTGTTCAGATAAGATAGATATAAGATATAAGGAGCGGGGAGAAGGCCAAAGGGAGGGGAATGGGGGGGGGGGGTTGACATGCAGGCCAAGTGGTTAAAGGTACTTGCCCAAACACTTGAAATAAAATGATTTTTGAAATAAAATGATTGCATAGCTGGATAAAAATAGCAAATCTTAAATTAATTAATTTAAGTGTATTTATTCCAGCTTGATTTTGTATGAAAAATTATGACATTTTTTTCCACAAAAGATCTAACAACCATGCGTGAAAATGTACCTTTAATGGTGCAGTGCTATGATCATTGATCTGACTTGCTCCTAAAGAGGTTGTGGGTTCAAACTCACTACAGACATTGGGTTCTTTCTTGTCGAGAACAGGTATCCATCTAGCCTTAGTAACATGTCTCTGCCGGTGCCTGTGCAGGCCTGAATTTATACATGAACGGCTCCTAAGATCTGCCACATGACTAAAGCCATATGGACGGCATTTGACCTTTGCGGTGTTGGTGTGACTTGAAACCCAACCAATAAATACAATAAACAATGGCTGCCTTTAAAATTATAACTGATACTTGATTACAAGGACATCAACACATGTTTGTATGCCACTATCTATTTATAGAAATGATATCATTCCATTTATATACCCTTAATTGACTTTGTATGGAAATCTTCCCTCGAAATTGGCTCTTTATTACCAAACAAATGCAATTCTTTCTCAAGATAAAAATGGAGAACTCTTTTGCAAATAATGTTACAAACGTCAAAATAGAGGTGAGATCTAATAAGCCTGGGGATTTCCATTTCAGTGCTATTGCAGTGATGTTATACTTTTTAGCGGGGGGGAAAAAAAAGGGACTTTGTGCATTTTAGAAGATTGGGTTTTCTTTAAAATATGACTTCAGGGTATCATGATCATTGGCTAAAAGCTCGACATTGTGGATAAACACTTAATTTTGCTGAACTTTTTGCACGGAAACAATTAGAAACTGAAAGCTCCGGTGGGAAATATGTGAAACCAAAAACTAACTAATTTAAGCAAGTCCTTATCTGGTTCATATTGCTTTGTCAGCACTTGTAAATTAAACATTGGTGTAGCGAGGTAAATTGCAAATTTAAGAGACCTATAAGTCAATGTAATGACTTGTATAGTATAGTTAGTACTTGATAGTGAGTATAGTTCAATGTAAAGCACCTAAAAACCAGCAACAAACTGTTCTGCTTTGAGAAAAAAAATCAAAATAAAAAGAAAAGTTAAAAAGAAAAAAAAAACACACACCAGAAAATATGATTTGTCATACTGACCTGCATTAAAGCTGCATGCCTCCAGATAAGCAAGTATATTTCCAAAAATCAATCCTTGAGAAAAATTAAAGATTTTAAGAAAAGTAAAGAGATTCAAGGCTCAAGCTAATTTATTTATTTGTAATGTTTGATTTATGACTGATTTTGCAGTAAATGTGTAAATTACTGTCTTTGTTTCATCTACAATAATTTTCTTGAATTTTTGTAATTTTCATGAAATTTAGCATGAATCTGCATGCATGCCGCTTAAAAAAAAGAAACAGCTAAAAAACATAAAATATAATTTTCAAGAAAAAAGTTTAATTTTTTTATCAATCATACATATCTCTACTTGGAGCTAAAACATAATATCAATATTTTGCTAGTTTAAGAATTTATGAATTTTATACATAAAATCTCAAATAATCGTAATGAAGAAGTGTTATATATGGCTATATTATGTTATTTGTTTTATGCCAATAAAATTATTTGAGTTGAGTTGATATAAAATTATGCTTAATGTACATGTATATTAATGTATATTATACTTACAATTAATTCCCCCATCCCCCCAGAAAAAAATATTTGTTTGATGTTGGTAAACTTACAAATTATATGTAGAGAAATTATAAATGACATAAACAAATTAGCAAGATTACTGATATCACTGCTCCACAAGTGTTTGTACAAACTTTCCTGGCTAATTTGTAAACTTGGAGTCATAAATTGTAATGGGATATATTCAATCTTGTCTAGAAGATATTTGCAAGGGTATAATTATTCATATTGTATGTTTTATTGTGTCTTATCTGGTTTTATTCCCCTATAATCTGGCTTGTGTGGCAAAGATAAAAAAGTTTGACAAATTTCTTCCTGTTATCAGAGAAGTTTTGTACAAGTGCAGCAGAATATTTATATATTTTCCCAGCATGCAATATTTGATACTGTAGGTGGGCGTGGCTATTGTTCATTGTGTGTTTCCATTGGTTATTAGATAAATATAGCTCACCTGTATTTGTAATTGTTTTCAAGGTATTTCTGGTAAGCACGTAAGCCTGGATCTGTAAAACATAAAATTTTCCTGGAAACATTATTTCCAAAAAACTTGGTTGAGTGAGTCCCTTAATTGATGTACACAATAATATCCATTGGTTATTTAAAACAATTTTTTAAGGCTTTTTTGTTTAACCCATTACTTCATATACACGCCTTTTAACGCCTTTTTCACCCCCCCCTTTTTGTTGTCTCAAATGATGAAAAAATGCCTTATTTAGGCCCCAAACACTTGGTTTTGTTTGAGAAATGTTGTTAAAAAAAAGTGACCTCTTTTTCGGCGCGGCCCCCCAACCAAAAGATACATCAGGGGGTTGCCAGAAGGGGGATGTGCCCCCTTCTGTTTGGGGGGTTTGAAGGGGGGCGGAGTCCCCCTCATCGCCAAGAAAATTTTGGGCTTGTGAGA